CAATAACGAGAGAAGAAAAACACTTTTGACATCCCCTACAGTTTAGGATAGCAGCAATATTTAGTGTGAATTTCTCTGCTCATCAAGCTAGTACTCAAAACAATGGCAGAAACTTGAGAGAGAGAGAGAAAAAGAAAAAAAGGGAACAGAAAAATATAATTCCACGGCGTATCCTCATTGCCTGGTGCTCATGACTCGTGGCTTCATTTAATTTCTGGAGTAGGTGGCGGTCTCTTCTCTCTTTCTTAAAAAAAAAAGTATCTTTGGTTAAAGAAAAAAACAGGTTTATTGCCCTTCAGATTTGCTAACGGAATTGCCTTCAAACCAAGCTAAAAAGACACAATTCCTTGAAAGTATAAAAAAAGGAAAAATGTCACAGTCAGAAGTGTCCCTTTCTTGGAATGTTTTACATATTGTGACAAAACTACTAGGGAAAGAGAGAGAGTAAGAGACCTGCCAAGGCCCAATTTGTTGGGTACAAGCAGGTAAAACTCTGCTGAGGAAGATGGAATTGCATTTGCTCTCTCTAATGACTGGATTTGACCCAATCTACAGTGAGAAGTGCTTCCATTTGGGTTTTCCAATCTGCTCATGTTGGCAGTTCTCTCCCCTCCCTCCTGCATTCTGGCTTCACAGCAGGAAATTGAACATCCATCTCCGAGGAGCGGCAACATCCGTGCTTTCTGCACAAGAAAAATGCAAGACAAGATGATGGGGAAAAGGACCACTTTCTCACTGTGCCAGCCATAAGCCACCCATAAAACTTCCAGCATTTAAACATTCGCTTCCCCTCTCAAGTTTCCATGCCATTTACCCTATGCACACAAGGAACACCAACTGAACCAAATCATGCCAATCCTATTTCCTCTCCAAAGGATTCTGCAAACACAACAAGCTGGCTGTTATGTGTGTGGTACTGACAGCATGCAAAGCTTTTGCTTCCTCTGCTGAAATGACTGCTTCCCCTGTGACCAACCACACCTTTATCCATACAATGCCTTTGTACAGGTGTGAGGGAGGAGGTGTTGCTCAGCTCCCTCATACCTGCCAGAAAACAGCTCTCACACAGTGTTTCACCATCAAAGCAATTTGATGGTTCTGCTGTGCATCTCTTGCAATCAGCAACCCATCACCGCTATCATCTGACCACCTACAGCTGGCAGACCAGCAACTCCAGGATGGACAATGTGAAAAGTGGCTCCTCCGATGCGCACTGCACTCCTTCTCACAGCCATCCTGTGTAACAGCTCTGCTGCCAAAAGGCCCCCAAAATCAGATCTGAGCCCACATGGGAGAGCAGGTCAGATGGGAACACAGGGAAAATGCAATTAGTACAAGTAAAACATTACTGTGATTTTGCTGGCCCTAGGCTACAGGAGCACATAAACAAGTATTTAACTTGAAGGGTTTAAGTCTGTTCTTTAGTAAAGCACTCAAGCGCATGATTAACTTTCAGTCTCTGCTGAAGTCCTGTAATTTTTTAATGGAATTTAAATTCAGTCACTGCTTCCCCCTATTCTAACAGAGCAGGTAACACAAATGAAACCATAAATATCTAAACTGTAGCAACCAGAACAGCTTAACAAATTTCCACAACAAATAATTATAAAAGAAGGGAAAATCTACATCAGAAACAAACAACAACAAAAAAATCAAACCAAACATCCTGACCCTGTGGACATCTAACCTTCAGTGAGAGTGGAAGATTAGGGGAGGAACACTGCCCTGTCTGCAGCCATGGTTTATCCAGCCGATGCCATCCATCTGCACCAGTGTGCTTTATCCAGTGATGGGACTGAGCTGCACGCACGGCTGCCATGGCTCCTTCAATACTCCTGTTTCTGGAGAGCCACCTATCTGCTTTCTCCTTTAGGAAAACCAAACCCTTAACATGTAGCGTGGCCTTGGACTCATCCACAGGGCCCAGTGATCCTGGCCTGGAGCACAAACAAGTCTTAATCTTATATAAATGTCCTATCAAACTGAGTGATGGTGAGCTGGATCCTGAGGCACCAAGGTCCTTACCTGCCTCTGATCCAGCTCTCCTGACAGATCATTACGTTAGCTGCTGTTGGGTTTTGGCCTCTGAATGAATGTTTTCTGGACTTATTCTTAAATGCAGATGTGACCGAGAGGATAACTCCTGTTCCTCAAGGCGGTAACCACTCTCACGGAGTGGCCCCACACCCTCCCAGTTAGTGGCAGAGTTTTCATCCTCGGAATAATTTCATTCCTCCTTTCTCCTGCAGTTCTCACAATCACAGCAACCCTTCCAATGCCACTGATGAAGAGAAATAAAATTAAGAACAGTAACAACAATACTAAGAGAAAAAAAACCCTACAAAGTTTAAGGAATGCGTGTGCAATTAAAACCCAGAGTAAAATACAATAATAATAAAATAATAATCATAATCGTAACAACCATACAATAAAATAACATTATCTTTCCTTTTCATGACATAAGCAGCATGACACTCTCACTCCCGAACTGGTGGGAGAGGAGAGGAATGCAAGAGAGAGAGAGCAGGGCTTTATTTTCCTGTCTCAGGTGAAAGGGGACATGTCGTCTTTCCAAAGAAAGGGGGGGTAAGGTGCATAGGCTGCTGGGAGATTGCATCCTCATCTACAGTATATTGAGCTGGAATGAAGGATAGGCAGGAAAAGAAAACTGTGCAAGGGTAGCCCAGGAACCAGAGCTGGCAACCAAGGAGGTTATTTGGTGGTTTGCCAGAAGACAACAGCCTTGTTGAACAGCCTATGCATAGTGGGATCCCTTCTTCTTCCAGGCCAGCCAAGCAGTTACCACAAGCCAATATATTGTGCTTGTCTTTCTGTCAGCTTTTCCAACCTGAGAGAGCCTTCTTCATCACTTCCACTCAGGGGAACTATCCCTTACCACCCTGCCAATGAACCTGCTATTTTCCAGCATCTTGCAAAATACCTGACTACTTCATGCTCTAGTTACAGGGAAAGGTAGAGTGGAACCAAATAGCCACAAAGACTTCAGCTTTCATGGAAATGTTTTACTAGATTCCTTTCTCTCCTTCCTCCTCAGGACATGCACATGCCTGGGTACTCTTGAGACATTTCCAAGTACTGATGCACCAGTGAAACTGCCGCTACCAGGAAAACTCCCCTCTGAACCAAACCAACTACAGGAAAGGCTCTCTTTAAAAACTGTTGGAAAACAAGACAACCGTGTAGCATTCCTTCGTGTGGAGGACTGCAGCACCACTGTGCTCTCCAGTTCCAGGGTCACTCTGCTGCTGCAGGCAGTTTTTTGAGGTGTAGGTGAGAAGAGAGGAGGGGAGGCACACAGTGTCACAGCTCTGTTAGAGTGGGTAAGGCTCGATGTATTAAAACACTCTTTTCACTTAAGAAACCTGAGATTGACTCTCTCAACTGGATTTTCTCATGCTTGCTTTGGGACTCCAGCCCTTTCCTGACCCCTTCTCATCAACAGTGAGAGATGTTGGCAACCACTAGTGTTTCCCCCTTTCAAGGGCTAAATGTTTGTTCCCATTTCAGACACACAACCAGGACAACCCAATGATGAGGGTGGACGCTGTCCTCCCACTCCATCAAGAACATCGTCAAACAGCAGAATGAGAATTCAGTTTCCGGGGAGGAAACCTGCTATTTCAACAGGACAAAAACAGACCAGTCCAGAAACAAATCCCCAGACCCCCTGGAAGTCACCCTGGGTCTCACAACTGACCCGGTCACTTCCAGCCCATCCAGTGCTTGACAAAACACTCAGTTATACACACTCCTGACCCCAATGAGCCTCCCCAACACCTCGCCAAGTGAGCTAAGATTGACGACGTGAAAAAAAACCCAACACCACCAGCAGAAGGAGAAAATCGGCAATAACACCCCCCCCCCCCCAAAAAAAAACCCAACAAAAAAACCCCCCCAAAAAAAAAAACAAAAAAGAAAAGAGAAAAAAAGAGAAGAAAAAGAGCTGAGAGTAAATTCCGACTAGCCTCAGTCAGTTTCTAGGAGTACCAGTGGAAGTAAACCCTTAAACCGCGTCTGTAGTTCGGTAAGGCACTACGAGGGAATGATGTAAAACTAAGACTGTGACAGTTGTAATGGCTGTGCCGAGGAACACACCACAGAGAGAAGGCAGCATCTGCACGCACACGCACACACACGCACACACACGCACATACCTGGACAATCACATTTGTTACATGCCTATGTTATATCACTTTTCTTTGTGCAATCACATTGAGGAATAGTCTATTGGTATCGTTGAAGTTCAACACAAAAGAGTAAAAAGGGGTATGACCTGTATAGTGCTACATTCTACCGGGGCTGGGGGCAGAGGGCTGGGGGCAGCTAAAATGTCTCCTCCTATACTAAAACGGCTAGGGATTAAAAAGGAACATTTCCGAAAAAAACCCTAAAATAAAACACAACTGAAATCCAACATACATTATTAGAGATCTTGTTTAGGAACAGTATTTCTCAGGGATTTATCCAGTGTGTTCAAGAAAAGGGAGAAATACCCCCATTGCTTCTGCTCTCAACCAATGCTGCATGGCTGGATTTGCCCAGGTGCATTTAAATGTAGCAGTGTTAGGTCCAAATTTAGAGCACTGGGACAACATTTTATCCTCCTACCTCAGCCTCTCTTACCCACTTTCTTTTTCAATTAAAAATCCACCAAAATTTGTGTATACTTTGGGATACAAAAACCACTGCAAAGGTGGGGTATAAACCCTTTGAAAAGCTGGATAAATCCCTAATCCACATACCTATAGGATTAAAAACCTAATGGATTTCATTTTAGGTGTTTTGGACAACAAATTTCTAAATGTAGCTCACTATTGGATGAAAATAACCTTTAAAAGTCTGTTGGTGAAGTTCTTCAAAAGACAAGACCCGCTGGAGGGTCCTTCTGCTTCTCTCTTTCTCTCTAGTTTGGTGCAGAATGGTTGGTTTTTTGTGGTTTATTTTTTTTTCTGTTCTTTTTTTTTCCATTTTCTTTTTTTTTTTTTTAAATAAAAATTGTAGAATTGGTTCTCCCCCTTCTTTCCTCTTTTTCTTTTCTTCCTTAAAGTCTCCTTCGTTCAAGTTTCACACGAGCCTCCCATTGCATTGTTAAGTTTCTCATGTTCTTCAATACAAAAGCGGCTGCCTCACTCCCCCCGGGATGGGTGCGTCTCTCGCTCTTTTATTCCAGTGTTTAGATGTAAGGGTACTGGTTCACCTTGGTAGGGCTCAGTGGGTATCCAGTGTAGACTGTGGAGGCTGGAGAAGCACTGATATAGGTCTGGTGGGCAAACTGAGCCTGGTACTGGCTCGGGTGGATGGTGGGTGAGGGCAGGACGCGCGGGCCCATGCTGACAGGGACCTGGTGGACGATGCTGGCGGGGTAGGTGGTGTGCTGCACCGCGTGCCGTGCAGACCCTTGGGAGGCCACCAGGTGCGCGACGGTGCCCGTGGAGCCCAGGGCGGCAGGGGCGGTGTATGTGTACAGGTGGGGCTGGGTGGGCAGGTGAGCAGCGGCCGCCGCGGCCAAGTGGGGATGAACTGTACCATGGCTGGGACTATTGTGCGGGAAAGAGTACGGGGCCTGAGCTATCGTTGGAGTGATGTAGGCTTGCTGTCTCCGGTGACTCCCTGTGCGGTCGGTCGTGATGTGCTGCTGGGCCTGGATAAAGACAGCAACAGTGATAAGCAGTTACAACACAAGAGATGGCTCTTCACCTCCTCAGTAGTGCCTGGGAACCTCCCTGCAATGCCAGGACAGCCTCAGGGAAGTCTCTTGTGCTCCTCCTGACACCGGCAGCACCACCAGTCTTCCCTTGGAAACGGGTGACAGCAATGAGTCCCTCGCAAGCCTAGGTTTCAGACATCATCCCTGTAGTTTCTTACATTGACTGAAATGCCCCCCAAGAGGTCAACAAGTCCCTCAGTTTGAGCCACAAGCTGCTGGCACAGCTACCAGAAAGACAAAGCCTTGGATGCTCAGCTCCCAAGAACATCTTTCACACAAAACATGGTTTTTGTTAGTGAACTCTCTGCTGACAAAATGTACTGTGCAGATAGCTCAGGGGAATGAAATTGCCTAACTATGCCTGGAACAGGCAGTTTATTTTTGCTCAGTTTGGGTGTTTGCAGTTAATAATTTCCTTGGTTAGTAAAAATAACCATGTTATTTTTTAGAGATACAACCCTTGGTTTGATCAGATCCTGCAGGTGTCTGGTGCCCTCGTGTAATCTGCTATAGTTACTTGAGCACAGGCAACTTCTTGCAGTGGGACAGGAGCAATGCACTTTTTTACCAGGGATTTTCTAAGTTGTTTTCTTGCACTGCACAATAATGTAAGAAGTTTTCCCTGTCATTTGTAGTCAGAGCATTAAATTACCCATAAAGTAGGAATTAGAAGACAAGAAGGAAAATGCCCCATGCTATCTCCGTCTATTCTTCCAAACCTTTTCACCCTCTTTGTAAGCACGCCCTGCGCAGTCATTGTGGTCTGAAATGCAGCAGCCACACTCCTCCCCAGCTCTTGCAAACAGCATCTCGCCCAGTTCCTCCATTTTCATGCACTTTTATTTAAAATTTGTTCACATTTTTAAATTTCATCTGCATTTTGAGGGGGAGGGGACATTCTTCTCCATCAAATTACTTTTCCTTTTAAAAAACAGCTCTGTTCATCCACCTGTCCTCTGAGCTCTCCAGACTTTCTCCTCTTGAAACACTGGTAACTGTGCTGTAACTTCTCTACTCTTGTTACCTCACCCCAGGGAAGAAAGAGGCCCCTGGTGCAGGATATGAAAAGGCGATTATTTACTGAAGCTCCCGTCTAATCATAGACTGTGAAACATTTTGAGAACTGCATGCTTCCAAGAAATGGGATTTGCCCAGATCTCAGCTCACGTTTATCACAGGATGGATCAAACTCCTAGGTCACGTATATGCACAATGAGGTCATATGCTCATGAGGTCACGTGTATGCACAGAGGCTTTGCTTTGACTTCTCTTCCAATCCCACAGCTGGGCTTATGCACTTCACTTGCAAGATACCCTCCCCATGGTTACCTATAGCTAAGGAGAACTCAGTCCTTCCTATGTGCTCCTGCTCAACTCTGTTGGGGCCAAGCCGCTGCACTTCCCTCTCACGTTATTCCCACTCACACTGTTATTCCCACTCACATCTGACTTCGGAACATGTGGTAAGAGTACCACCAGCCCACTCAAGGGTGTGATCTGCACTACCTCTGCTGCCTGAGTGGGAGGATCAAGCTCTGCAGTCAAGTAAAAACCAGCTGATCAAACTCAACATGGGGCTCAACTATCACTAGACTGGAAGGGGACAGCCCGTGCTGTAGGAGCAGTAGGGAACAGCTGGATGATGCACCACCAAAATCAGTCTTGGTTGACTTACCTGACTTAGATTAAGAGGCTGCTGCTGCTGGAAATGTGCTCCTGGTCGCTGCTGCCTATAGGCAACGGCTCCAGACGAGCTCCCTGAAGAGTGACCGCTGGTGGAGGTCACGGTGCTGGAGGACTTGGACTTGTAGGAGGATGAGTGGTGACTGGTGGTGACTGTGCCAGGAAAGGAAACACATTTGTAGCTTACATCACATTCTTTAATTGCTCACCCTACCTTTTCCTCACTGAGTCTCCTCCAGAGTGGCTTTTGGGAGGAGACATACAACAGAAGCAGGGTAAGAAAACTGTTTCTCTTAATTAACAGAATACCTCAGCAGTGCTTCGTATACACGACCAGCCTGTTATCCTAGAGGCAGACAAGCAAACCTGATAACTGGACCCAAAGCAGGCCTGAAGAAGGCTTTATAGACCCTTCAGAAGTGCAAGAAACTGTTCTGCCAGCAGAACTGTACAACGCAGGTACAAATCCCAAGGAGAGGAAGGAAAGTGTGGTGTGCACAGCATAAAAAATCCCTGTCTTGCCTAACATCAAGGTGAGTGAGGGAGAAGGTGCTAGTGGGGGGGCTCACCCTTTGAACCTTTGTGTTCACCAGCAGTGCATCAAAAGCAAAGACTGCCAAGTAGCTCAAAGCCAGTTGCTTCATGCCAGACTTCCACCATAAACCTCTTTTCAACACATCCTACTATCTAGCATTGCAGAGGTTCTGGATGAGCAAACCTCATCAGTCCATAATGAAGATCCTGGGGAAATGTTCTTCCCAGAAACGTCAACAAGTTTGGATGAAAATTCACATGTGTTTTCAATCTCTTACCCATTTTAAAATACACCTATGGAAAGGCAAGGCAGCAAAGGTTCACACTTGCATTTGTGAGCCTTTAACGTCAAATGTTGAGCTACAGGCTGCATTCTGTTCTTGGGTTTGTACAGAACTAACTGGGTTCGACACTTGCCCCTGTGACTCGAGTGGACCAGGGCACATAAATAACGCAATATGGCTCCCAAGAACAGATGTGTCACTTGAGAGAAGGGCAGGAGCACGTGGGTTTTTTTTGAAAACAAAACAAACAAACAAACAAACAAAATGAAACTGAACAATGAGATTCTTCCAAGATAAATCATTTATTTCTTACTAATTTTCTTGACGGAAGAGGTGCAATTTACCTGGTGCCAGGCTATCGCACTCTACCAACACCTCACTGGCCTGGGTTTTCAGTGGTGGCACGATGATCGTTCGGGGGTTCCCACTGCAGTGAGTCTCTGGAACCCCTTTGGTGTCGTAGCTGTTCCCGTTATTCTGCCCTGCACGATGTTGCACGGCGTAAGGGCTGTTGTTGCTGGAGGAATCGGAGTAGGGGGAGTCATGCACGGTGACACAGCTGATGACATTCTTCCTTTGCTTGGACAAGGTGCTGAAACACAAGCAGACAAGTGGAAAGAGTGATCAGGCAATGATCAACTCAAAATCACTAGAAGACTCTGCCTGTGGCAGACTAGCTCCATAAAGGCAAAGCACATCCTTCAGTCCTCTGCCAGAGAGAGGCTGCTTAAGCCAAATCCCAGGCTTCAAAACTCACTCGTTACTATTCCAGGAAAGCCCTCATGGAGGTCAAGGAGTGAGTAAGACATTGTGGATAGATCTTATATTCACACTGCTTAGAATAGCACTGAACCAGACTGCCAGATTTATTTTCAGACTGCTTTTTATGTATGTGTGCAGTAGAAGCCCAGCACTTATACTATGCTTTGTTGCGAGTCTCACCACCCACACAAAAACGTGGCGGTTTCTCCCAGCCTTCCAGCAATGATTTAATAATAGATGCTATGACTTTTCATGCTTAAATTCCATGAATCTACAAAATATACTCCATTCTATTTACTAATATGGTGCAATGGGCATATATACTCAATAAGCATCTGAAAATGAGGAATGAAAACAAAGAAATGAGCAAAGTATGTAACGCTTTTGATTTTCTTTTTCTCTGAACAGGCACTGGGTCTCCTGACTCCAGTGTGGAATATCAAGGTCCTGCTGCAACTAATCTATCTATGACATCAAAAAAGTGATTAAAAAAGAACATCAACACTTCCCAGATTAGTGCTAGAAGTTCATTAGACTAGACTGCATGAGTACGATTGGGATTTGCTCTGCTATTGTGTCTAATTATTCCTGATGGTTTCTCCTTCCTGTTATGAGCTTGTTTAGGGAGAAAAAGAGAGTGAGAAAGAGGAGGGAGGAAGGGGGATGGTGAAGATTTGCTTAAATGGCTCACATCCTTGACAGTGCACAGACCTTGACTACAGAAAATAGCTGTTATGTTTCACTGATTGCATTATGTTGTTATGGCAACTGAAGTTTTTAAAATGATGAAAAGAAATGGATAGCACATAAAAAGCTAAGTAATTAGGCTTAATGGTGGAAACAGCCCCAACAGGAACAGAAATGACATGGAGAAAAAGGAATCTTAACTTCTTGAGTGTGCACTTTAAACAGAGAGAGATCTCTTTCCCATAGAGTGTTCTCTCTGGTCTCCCACTCTGCCTAGTCCGGTCCAGTGAAGAGCTGTTAAATCCAGTCTGAGTCTGTGATGGAGCTGTTTGTTGCCTACTCTCAGCATCGCTTCTTACCCAAGGAAAGGTGGGTGGAGCAGACACTGAGAACAGTTTCCTTCCAAGGACATTGTTTGCCATATTTATTTTTCACAGTGCTAAAGGAGCACTGGTGGATTCCCTTCCACTTGTCCATTCCAAAGTCTCTCTGTCAGCACTCACAAACTGCAACTGACCACCTCGCTCCCAAGACTTGTGATTGAAAACCTATTACCTTTTCCTTTAAAGAATGCCTTGGGGTGATGCATTCACAAACAAGTTACCATCACACAGACTTTCCCTGGGCTATCATCACAGGATCCTGGTGTGTCCCAGGAAGGACACACAACCATGTCCGTTCTACTCACAGTGAAAAACATGTCTCAAGAGGCCCCTGCTACTGTCACTTGAAACAGGGCAGATGATAGAGGAGTGGAGGTATTGCACAACAATCTGGAATTGGAAAGTGATTCTTCCAGGGGCAGGGATGTATCAACAGGAAAGATGTACAACACCAAACCCTCATATTCTGCCTTTTCACAAGGAGCTGGAGAGCTCTGGATTAGAAATGGAAAGAGCAATAGCATCTTAGATGGACGACGACCGTATGTGAAGAAAGATGTAGCAGTTTGGATATGCTGCTACGAAAGAAGAATATTAAGCCAATAAAAATGACTAATATTGCATCAATATTCCCCTCTCCATCAGTAGAAGTGCCTGTAATCACACATTTATGAGTATCCATGCTGCTTGCCCTTTGCAGCTACCCTTGGCTGCCAGTTGGGAAGAGAGATATATTCTTTATCTCTGACAGTTATTACATTTTATAAAGAAAAATCAAGTCACTAAAGAGTTTTCTGACAACTGATAAGGTCTAACTGTTCTTTTACAGTCCCTTCTTTACATAAGTGGCTGAGCTGCTGAACTGGAAATACCTGCTCTCAGATGACACTTGACATGGGAAGGTTGAGCTGTAGAACTGGAAAGGTAATTTTCTGTGTAATCTGTGCTATTTATTGTTTTAGAATGGATATATTTTTCACCAATTTGATTGAGGGCTTGTCAAAGTAGGGACCATGAGAATTTTTCTCCTTCAGAGTGGCAAAGCTCCTTGGTTACAATAAGAAATTCAAGTATAACTGTTTGCTTAAACAAATAAGTGACCTCAAATTCAAACCTTTCCAGAGAAAGGGACTGTAGCAGGGTATTAAACTAATTTCATGGATTGGAACCTGAAAAGGACCAGAACTATGGTCCTGCCAGGCCTTACGCAAGTGCTCAGCAGAACTAACGTCTCATCTCCCATAGTCAACTGGGCTATTCCAGTAACAGGGCTAAAGCCCATGGGTAAATATTTGCAGGATTAGGGCCCGAGAGATCAGCCTCTTGATTCATCAGGCTGCATCATTTCAAGGACACAAGGAGTCCCATTGAAAGCAGCTGGATTTTTGTATTTAGGAAAGGTAGCACAACTGCAGTTAATGTTACAGCAGGCAGAGAAGTCACTTGGGACTAATCACACACACCCAGAGCTCAGCACCTGCTGTACCATAGCCTGCCCCAGAGATTAAAGGTGGGAATTTCAAGAACATCAAAGGCCCAGCTCATGCTGAAAATCAGTTGATTCACAGGCCTAAAGATATACACTAATCCAAAATGGAGATTTTTGAAAATTCAACCCAACAGAGTTAGCATTCCCCCTACTCAAAGCCTTCTTGCTCGTCAGCAGCTGTTCTCCTTCCAGCTCCCTCTAAGGACTCAGCTACTCTCCCCACCGCACAGTAACCCAGGAGTTATCTGTGTGAGGTTCAGACTGATGTATTGCCTTCCCTGCTCACAAACTATGAGGACTGAGAGCTTTTACCTGTTGACGCAGCACTTGCCTACTCAGCAAGCTTACTGTATTCCTATAACTCAGCCACAGCTTTTGGGGATGTTTGTGCTTACACAGAAAAATACTATTAAAAGTCTTGCCCCCTTCCTATTAAGCTCAGTCCAGGCCTGGTAATTGCTTTCCCTCCTGCAAGCACAGTCGTGGCAGCATACGTGATTTAGTAGTTTTGGGAGTCAGTTTGTGTTCCTGGTCAGCTTGTGTGCCTGCCTGCATATGTGGGTAGGTGTATTTTAATTCTCCAGAAGAGGGAGGGGAGAAGGTTACTGAAGTGGCAGTGAATGAATGAAAAGCACTAATCCAGAAAGGCATTTCAACCCTTACTGCATGGGGCTGTACCCTCCCTTTTGAAACAGCAGCTGATAAAACATGCATTGCTTTGCACATTTATTTATTAGTTTATGAGTAGTATCCTATTCCCACCTTGTCCTGAAGAGCTTGTTCTCAAACTTGGACACAAAAGAAAAATTCATATCTGTCCAACGTGCAGACACAGAGCATGACCATGCCTTTGAACAAGTAGAAGCAGGGTTTGGAGACAGCTCTCTTAAATAACATCACCCTCCTGAGTGCACAGCAGAGATGGACATGGGTCCCTATTGTCTCCAGCCAGGAAAAGTCTGATAGAGGAAACAAAAGACAGTTTGTGCACAGGCACCAGGCAAGAAACTAAGGTGGGCATCTGATAATGGAAAGGGGATGAAGGCAGATGTTGAGAACAAAAAATGAGAGGAAATAAAAAAAAAGGAAGATGCTGAATTAGGTGTTAATGCTGAAACCACCTCAATAGCCAAGGACAAGGACAACTCTTATAACAATGCAACTTGAGATGATTTCTACTTGCTGAAGGCCCAGCCCAAAAGCTGGATGTGACAGCATTGCATGAATGGGATCTTTTTTCCCCTGGAATACCTTGAGTTACACCAGAATCACAGAAAAAGCAAATGGTGTCTAATGGGGGCAATTCTTCAGTGTGTGGTTCACTCCAAGAGCTACAAACCTTTCAGTGTGTCTGACACTGTAGCAGCATGGTCTTACAGCTCTCAAGGTCACAAACTTGGCCTTCCAGTTTGGAGGATGAAGGAAGCCATTGCACACGAGTGCCTTTGAACTGGTGTGTATATACAACCAGGGCACGTAAGCTTTACCTCACATAACAAAAACTCTGTTCCAGGTCTCTGAAAAGGTAGTAACATGCACCCTTTTCAGTTTGCTGCTTCAAAATAATCCACCTATCCTAGGAAAGTATAGAGTCAGCCAACAAAAACCCACACTACAACTGCACTTGCTCTCTTCATGCTGAAATTTTATGCCATGCGTAGCTCAGTGTCGAGAACATGCCCCCCCTCTCTTCAGCTCAACCTCCACCCTGACCTGTTAATCTGCTCTCACCTTCTTTGTGAATTTGTGATGGTAAGAGGTCATTTTATTAGGCTACACAGGACGTGCCATAGCTATTTAAGTCATATATTCTGAATTGCTTAGAAGGTTGTAAGGGTCCTGCTGCTGAAGGTTTGCTGACAGAGCTACTGTCTATCTCTGTTATTTTAAGTATTAGTTGCATGTCATTGGTGTGTATTCTAGGAGATGGAAGGCACCAATCTTTTTACCAAATGACTGTGGTTAGTCAACGTATTGCTATGCAGAGTCAGTGCATTACAATGCACAGCACAACACAGCCACAATAGGCTACGTGTCAAAAGAGAATTACAAACGGTGCTTTGCCCCTACCACATGCACATCAGCAAGTTGGCAAAAACACCTGGTTTGTGCCTGCCAGAAAATTCTGTGTGTAAGGGGAATTAAAGTCTTCTGAAGTGGGGCCCACCACCATTGCACTACAACGTGAACAACGCGAGTAATGACTTGCATCAGCTTAAGCTCCGTTATAAAGACAGTCTGTCTCTCACATAGAGGTCATTGTATAGTTTACCATCTTAAGAGAGAGGGAAAAAAACCACAACCCTGCAAGGATTTTGTTCCAGCGAAGATGGTCAATGAGGCAGTTACTCAGTATGCTGATGCACCAGCTGCAGTCAGCCTGCCTTGCCCAGCAAGACAGTGACTACTGTGAGGATCCCATGGAAAACCAAGATGGGGAGATGTTACTTATGACACCAGCATAGGCAGTGGGGAACTGAGGGGCTCTCTTGTCTCTCTGGGGTGGAAAGACCCTCAAAACCTACCACCTGAAGGCCATAACTGTATTGTTTTAAGAAAAATCCTGTTTTCCTTGTCTGCTGCACTCATTGCTTGGAGGGGAAGGATTCTTGGCACATCACAACAGCCACCTCCACTGCCCTTCCTTCCACCCCTTCCTCCTGCCGTGCTCTGTGATGAGTCTCTTGGCAGAATGTAGAAATACCCCTCACTGAACCAATAGTGCAGCCCAATGCATCCCTCCCCAGGACCTTGTGTGCTCTCCCTCCCAGCCACAATTCCAAGATGCCTTTGTGTCTCTCCGCTCCATGCTTAAGCTGTTGCTTTATTTTTTTCCACTTCTAAGCTTCAGCAATGTTTAATCAAAGGAGGATTTATATTTAAACTAGAGCAACAGGTGAAGTTTCACACCGGGGAGTACTTAACCCCTACTACTTGCTACTTGCCGAGCACGTGCTCCAATCACCACAGCTGCAGTGGCACTATCGGTCAGTTGGTCTGCCTGCTTGACTTTCTTGCAAGAGCAAGCAGAGAAACTAAAGAGGAATAAATTTTAAAAAGTAAATATCAGTCTACTTTCTGTTTCACTTTACAGGTTAGACCTGAATTCTTCTATGCAGAATAAATAACAGCTGGGGTATTATCTTACAGCACAGCAGTGAATGTCTCTTCAGCCTATCAAGTCTCTTTGTAAAGGATGCAGAGCTGAGAGTGTGCAAGTTCACTGATGATAAACAAACAGGGTGACAAAACTGTTTCCTGTTCATAAAATGCATTTTATATGCAAATTTTCCCCCCTGCTGTTTGAGGGGACTAAATGTCACATACAGTGTGGGCATCAGAAACCAGGTAAAAACAATTTCATTCAGTAAAATTTTTCCCCCTTTATTTTGACTATTTCAACTTATTCTTCTTATTATTTGTGTCTATTTTGAAAGAATAAAACTCTCCATTAAACCAGAAACAAGAAGTCTTCTCCTCTAACACTTTCTCCCCTTAAATAAAGGTCAAAACTTTTTGCAGTTTTGAAGCTTCGCCAGATTTCATTGTATTACTAGAAAAAAACTCAATGTATCTTGCAAAAAAGCCTTGGTTTTGATGAGCTGACTTTTCTAATCAGGATTTTGCCCCCTGAAAATCTCTGACCATCTCTCTGAGGATGGTCCCTGCTGAACTGTACCTGAGGTTCCTCCTTGGTGACTCTGCCCCAGGCTCGGGGCTGGGGCCCAGTAGATGGCCCCCTTCGACAAGGCTCCACTAAGCAGGTCCTCCAGAGCTCATCTCACACCACCTCCCCAGCACCTTTACCCAACAAAAGCCCAACATTTTCTATTGATTTTATAAAGATTACACCAAGCTATGCTCTTCAACAGTGCAAAAGGAGCAATGTGCTGCCCTGCCTTCCTGATCAGCTGGTATTTTATAAACATGTAACATAACATTTCCTAGTTTTCAGTAGGAAAAGGAAAATTCTACCCATCTCATAATGATTTTTTCAGATTTTTCTTTCACCAATAAAAAATTCATATCCTCTGTATGAGAAAAGCTCTCTCTACTGCTCTGGTATTACAGAAAGGCTTTTCTGATGGAGTAAATCCAAGCCGTAGGACTCCTTTCCTGCATCAGCAACATAATATTTTTTATCAACATTACCAGTACTGCTTAAACTGAGACTGACCAACTCTTACATCCTCAAAGGACCTACTACTTCTCACAACCACAAGTAGCTCTAATCTCTCTTCACTGAGGAATCAATAAAATAAGCCTTTTTAGTCTCGTGGGTCAAAGAGAAATTTCTAACCCCGTAAGAAATAACAGAAGGAAGTGCTGTAGCAAATTCAGGAGCTGATCCAATGACAGTGAAGTTAATGTAAAGCTACCATTGCTATCAATAAGATGGGATCAGACAATTACCTTTGATCTGTCAAGTGACATACGATTTCTATATCCTAACCTAGAAAAAACTAATATTGCTAGGATGTGACCAATAGCATGTTTCAAATGATTCCTTATTTTTCACCCCCACACCACAGCTATTGCCCAATATGGTAATATTTGCATATATGGGTGAGACAATGCATTCTTTGCATGGTTTCATTTTCGACTCAGATCCTGAACCTTTGGGCACTGATTACATTAATGCACATACTTCACTGTCACTCCCATTTTTCTTGGAGCCAAAAAAATAGGCAAGTGAGAAAACTTGGAGTATTTTCTTACATGTGACAAACTTTCAATGAGAAAGACACCAACTTCAGCAGGGACAAAGTTCCTTGGTATTAAATGCTGATACTTTACTGGAAGCTACACTCTCACTCCAGCTGAGACTATGGTATTAGATATACCCAGGTTAAAAGGCACTGAGCGAATTGATTTCACTCTCCTGGAGACATTAACCAAAAATTCTCATTCTGGACATGCTGTTTTCCACCTGTGCCTCTGCCTCTAATTCTCTATTTGCTCTGGATACATCTGCACAGGCAATTTAACTCACTCTGGAATTCCAAAAGGTGCCCGAGAACAGCTCGTGTCCATGCGAAATGTCTCTACATGGCTCAGAAATTAAATCTAGCTCTTAAGCTTTGGCCTTCCAGGAATGCTGACATCCTGGCACTCTGTATAGATATGCCATATGGATACAAAAAGTAGCCAGGGATCTGATCCCAGGCAGGAACGTGTCCGGAATATGCTTTAGTCACATCAAAGCCAGTTTGTTTATGTAAGTCTGGCTCCTGGGACAACTTTTCAAGCCCCTCAGCAGACCCAAATATTTTAATACCTCAAACTCCCAACTCAATTTCTAGACATGTTCCTGAACTTTGTTCTGCCTGTCTTCCTGGAGAGGTGTTGAGTGAAGAAACCGGTCAGATGGCAGCAAAGTTGAAGCAGAAGAGACAACCATTGGTTGAACTGGATGCAGTATTCCAGTTCTTCCCTCCACCCCTCTCTGGACCAAAGAAAGACACCCAGATGGTAAGTTTAAGTATTTTCACATAATTCCCAAAGCCTGGGATCAGCACCATGGGTAAACATGCTTGAAAAGAGCTCCCATGACCCTTGAGATACCTGCCCTCTTCATGCTGCTCCACCTCACAACCTTAGTTTTCAGCATCTCTTTTGTCTTACCCTTACTTTCCCGTAGAGCCCTGGAAGTAGGGGCTCATTATTTCTAGTCTACCTGACTTTCACACTCATCTTCACTCAACTCCCTCTGGAATCCCACTTTCTTCCCCCTACCAAAGCAAGGAATGCTGTAGCAATTTTTAATTTTATTTCTTTTTATTTTTAAAGTGAAATATGTTACACTGTCCTGTGATCAAGTGCCTATGATAACCACTGCATTCATGGCAAGCCTGACTTTGAGAGGCACTGAGCTCTTGCTGCCCAGTGGAGTTCATTGGTAGGGAAAAGGGGAATGGGAAGCGGCAGTGGCTGTCAGGAGGCAGCTTGAAATTCCAGCCTAGATGCCTGAATCATATGGCTCTTTACAGATTTTTAGTTCCTGGAGGCCAAATGCATCTCATCTGTTCTGTGCACATTTGCAGGCTTCACTTATCACCACAATGCAGAGATGCAGAGACATAGATAGGTATCTCCAGTGACTAGAAAAAAATCTGGCATGGAGTGTATTTTAAATAAATAGAAAAATAATTATCTCTCACCAATACTGGAAAGATAAGGTTAAAAATTTCCTAGCTCAGTTACCAATATAAAAACGGTAAAATTATTCAGCTGTTTGCAAGACTACTTCTCTACAACTTATAAAGCAGAGCAATGTCTTGTGACTGGCATCAGATGGGAAACCTAGAGCACTTGCATGTGATGAAAGGTGCTGAAAGGACAGTCCTAGAAAATTAAGTCCTCTCTGATCCACAAGACATGATCAGCAGTGGCAGCGGTCCTGGGCCACACTGTTCAGTCAGGTGAGTTAATTCCCTAAGGAGTAAACTCAGTCACCACGGTGTTTCTAGCCTCATCTACGCCTCTCTGCAGTCAGACAAAAAAGCAGTCAGTTTCTGCCACTTTTACAATAGTTCAAGGATGTTTTGACAACACAATCAGAACTAAGCAAATCTCTTACAATATATTTATTATTGTTGAGTGTTTATGACAGAACCATTGTTCTTGAGAACCTTTTTAAGGAAAATATCACATATCGAAGGTGTCATTTAATGCTCTTTACAGATGCCTGGATCAGTTAGAAAGAGAAAAGGCAAATTTAAGGCATCTTCCTTCCAAGCCCTTCTTTTTGTCTTTGTTTTAAACAGCTGTCTCAGAGAGACTCATCACCATAGGCTCTCTGAAGTCTCCTTTCAACAGAAGTGAGATAGAGAGAAGTATTCTTTCCTCTTACAGATGAGACCCTATGGCACGGGGAGACTACTGCACTTCTCCAAGGTCACACAGCAAATGTACAGGCACAGAAGGGAGCTTCAACTAAATCTATGCAGTCCTCAGCTAGTATTTTTTTCCTTTCAAATGAAAGGAAAAACTGGATGCTGACACCCAAATATAGCTCCTGGAACACTACAGCAACTCCTGGGATGCTCCAACACTTCTCTGCCTCTGTCTCTTTCTCCTGCACACAGGGAAGAGCAGAGAGCCACTGCTCACCTGGTGGGTGCATGCTTCTGCTCCTCCTCTTCATCCGTGTCGCTGCTGATAGTGATGACACTCACTGCGGGGCTGGGGGTGTCGGGAATGATGATCGTCTGCCGCTGCCGCTCCCGCGTGGTGCTGGTGGCCACGTCGCCCCAGCCGCAGGTGACGGAGGTGCTGCAGGCAGGGCTGTTGTGCACCATGGCACAGCGGGGAGGCGTGTTCTCCTTCACTCGTTTCGACCGCTGGGGCGAGCTGATGGACTGAGAGGATGAAACTTCATAGGTGGATGTGTTTCTGGAAAAGGGAAAAGGTGTTAGTTGGTTAAAACTCTGTTTGCTCAAGTTGCCCGTCACCAAGGGCTTGCGAGTCCCGGTCTCCGATTCAGTGGCACTGGTCTATGGAGTCTAGGAAAACTGCAAAATTGACACAGTCAACTCATCAAAGGAGAGAGTGCCTTGCATGACTTATTCATATCATTGGCTGAAAAGCAGTTTCTTGTAGCAAAAAATTCAAATTTTTTTTCCTAGAAATTTCCAGATGAGAAATGCTGCCTCTCAGGAGTTTGCACTGGGACAGTAGGGGCTAGTCACACAGCCCAGACATACAGAACAAAGGCAGGCACTCCATGGTTGTCACAGGAGAGAGAACCACCTAAATGATAATCTCTTTCGCCTGTATCCTGCACAGATGCATCATGACCAGATATTTTTTGACCAGAAAATGCTAGAGATAAAATTAGAATTTGCTGTGGAAAATAACAATCATTTATCAGGAAAACTGGTTTTTAATTTAATTAAACAGAAATTAATTTCTGTTTAAGAATCTTTTCAATGAACATTCCCTGCCCAATACTTTGACCTCTAGGACAGTGGTGTCCCATAGATGAGAGCAGGCAGAAGGGAGGACATATACTCAGTTTCATTTAATTTCCATGTGAAGTAGCATCCAGCATACGTTAATCAGAAAGAAAAGAAAAATATTCTTATTACACAGTAAAAAAGCATTCTCAAGTCCTGTTTCTTTCCCAGTCTTCCTATGTCAGCTTCCCTACCAGACCAAGCGGAAAAGGCTCACTTGGATCAGGGGTCTGAACACAGAACCTATCTACCCAGCAGTGCAGCGTGGGTCTGCAGATGGGGTTATTTACCAAAGCACACTGACTAAAGCCCATTTCACTCAATTCCCACACTTTCTTTCTCCCTTGTATTTCTTCTCACTACTGCAAAACATCTGGAGATTCAAAAAGGAAAAAAAAAACCCAAAGTTCTGTTTTTGTTCCACTGTGGGGCCTGGGCTGCATGTTCAGCCTGGTCCAAAAGCTAACAAAAGGAATAGGTGGCATCCATCAAAAGGAAGTCACCCTGGCAGTATATCACACTATACCAACTTACACAGGGTCTTTTGCATAACAAATGGCTGCACAGTAGCATTCAAAGTGCTTTTTGAATACCAATGAGCAGCGTGGAGTACCCTCCTCTCCAAAGGAGCACAGTTCCTCATTTGGCTACAAAAGAGTCACAATTAATGAAGCTGTAGAAACCCTTTGCTCTGAGGATGCCCAATTCCTCCTGGACACTGCCATCCTGCCCCTGGAGAGTGAAGGGAGAAGGGGGGCCCTGCACAGGCACACTGGTTCCAGCAGGTGCTCTCTTTTGCTGGCTTGCTGGGGACGTAGCTGCCTCTCCTCTGTGTTACCGATTGACTAAGACAGCTGGAGCCCACCCAAAGTAAATTCAACATTAGAGAGCAGATACATGGGGAAGGATTTAAATAGTGGCCTCTTAACTAGAGTCAAACTGGTTGCGAACTCAGAGCTCCTCTGACCCCAGTGCAGTCACCCAGGAAAACCACAAGCTCCTCTGTTTTTGCCTCTGCACAAATGGTGACCCATTTTGGTTCTCTCCCCTGCACTGTTCTGTGTTTTTGTTGTTTTTTCTTTTTAAAGAAGCGTCATAGTTGCACAGCCCAGAGGACCTTCCCCAGAACAGGTACACATGCATCTTAAACATCCTTGTCCTCTAGACAAGCTTACACTGCTGTGACAGGCACTGCAACCATCCTACCATCTGAGTTGTGCAAGAAACCCCAGTCTCCTCCTTGCAGAGCCAAATGGTAGACTGAGAGCCGACAGATTCTAAGGACTGCCCTTGTGTGAGATATCCTTACAAAATGCTCCGTTTTGTACTGCCACGATTATAACAAGGCCAGCATGGAGATCTGTTGCTGGTGTGTACTGCTGAAGATAGGGACTAACCACCTATGTTAGGAGCTAGAGAGCTTGAAGTGGCCTAAAGCCACCCCAGTCCTCCACTCCACACGGAATTAAAGCTCAGAAGACAGGTCATCACTCCATTGTTTTTGAAAGGGCAGATCTCGTGTGCACACATCAGGCACGTGTTCCTGAAGATGCGGTCCCCTGAGATGCATCATCTCATGGAAGTGCAAACACTGCACCTCGGGAGTGCTTTTTCCAGATGATGAGGGAAGAAAAGGTGTGGCAACTGGGCACTGCGGCACACTGACCTGAGAATTCAGTTACATTTTTGATAACAAGGCCTCAGGTAATCACAGCAGCATAACGAGTGTATGAACAGGGCCCGAGTCTCCCATCTTGCATCTCCTGTAGCCACTGACTCCCATGCAAAATGATGCTCACTGGGTGTACAATGCACCGGATCACCTCTTACCTGCCACTCTCCTGACCTGGGTGCCAAAGAGCTGAAGCAGCCAAGACTCCAGTCGCAAAATGCGTAACCTAATCCCTTGCAGGCTGTGGAATAAACTTTATTCTGCCCTGCAGATGTCAGTGAACACCACTGGCTGCATCGCAGGGCTGCACTCGGAAGCATGGGACCCCCATCCCACCACCACGGCCAGCGCCGGGGTGGGCACACACTCACCGGGGCGCTGACTGGTGCTGTTTGCTCTTCCTGGCGGAGGTGGTGGCGGGCGGCTGGCGCATGACGTGGGCGACGCCCACGTTGACGGGCTGGGCGGCGGGCAGGGTCACGTGGCTGGCCAGCAGCGTGGGCTGCTGCATGATGGGGTTGTAGTGGCTGCCGTGAGCGTGCGTGTTCCTGCGCGGTGGGGAGACAGGCATGCGTTTAACATGCAACCAGCTGTTCCTTGGCAGGCTCTTCCACAGGCTCCCACCGCCCTTCACCAAGGTACCCTCCCTTCCAGGGCCCACTGGGCTCCTAGTCCACCCAGGATGGAGCATTTTCCCCAGGGAGCAGACTGAAGAGAGCGTTGTGGGCACAGCACTCCACCCCGAGGACATGGAACGGAGAAGTTGCCCATAGCTTTCAGACAAGGGGGCGACGGGCTGCAGCCCTTCTCCCTCACAGCCCTTGTGAGACCCCATCCCTCCTGCCCCCACTCTTCTCAGGCCTCTTCCAGCACTGGTGGGTACTTCAGGGAGCCTCCAAGCATCTCCAGTTTACCTCCAGTCTGCCAGTGGTTGGGTGCCTGCCATGGACTCCGGGATGACGGTCGCATGCTGGACAGATGTGTGGGTGGCCACCCCAGTCAGCTGCTGCCAGGCAGGAGGGAGCAGGATCTGCTGAGTGCCACTGGGCCACGCTTGCTGTCAGACAGAGGGAAAACAAAAGGCATCATGCACCAAGCATGAGTGGTGGTCCACGCTCACCTGGGACCCCCAATAATTATCATGGTCATACTACATAGCTCTTATCCCCTTTCAAATATCGTTAGGAAAGCACAGTAAAAGCAGTAAAAGTCATCAATATAGAGGATCGAAAGGAATGGGGAAAAGTCCCTGCTGTATAAAGCAGCAGCTGTGTTTTAGGCTAAACTAGGAATAGGAGGGATTAAAACTAGTTGGTATTTCAACCCAAACATCAAACACTTTAGCACCTTTTAATTTTGACTTTCCAGACTAGCTGGGCGCTATGGTTCCATTGCCAATTTCCCCCTCCTACAGCCAGTTTTCTTTCTCATCCCAACAGGACCTAAACGACTTCAGGAACTTAAAAGGAACTAAAAAGGAAAATGAACTTTTCAAGGACCAGAAAAAAGAACTGGGCTTTAGTAAGGAGGGGAAAAAGGTGAATTTGGGGATATGGAAAGGGAACACCTGTAAGCCACTGGGTGCTCCTCAGAAGGAACATCTTGCTACACAGCCAAGAAGCCCAGTTGCCTGCTTGCAGCTCACCAGGAGCCTCTCTGGGCAAAGCAGAGTGAAGCCATGCACATCTATGTATTGCATGCCCGTCCTCTCCATGTGCTTTCCTGCTTTTTCTGAGTGAGTGCCCCCCTTAGAGGGTGTAAATTCCTGCCCTGTGAGTTGAGCCATCGTTCTGGTATGCAATATCCCCCCAGCTGCGCTGCCACAGGCATGACTCAGGTTGTCCTGCTCCAGTGACTCCACACAGTCAGATGGTTGGTTTTTTGACTTGGGAAACTATTTGCTACGCGCTGCCCAAAGGCAGCTCTGGCAGCTTATCACTGCCTGGGCTGAGGAATGCAGGGGTACCAGCTATGGCCCACTTTAGTCTCAACCTGCACTACTATACTGGACCTGTGTTGTGTCATCTCACAGCTCCAAGGAGGCTAAATTTGAGGGGAGGCTTGTTCCAAGCATACATTTGTCCATTTCTCTATCCTCACAAGAATCCAGTTAACTGTCCCCATGATCCCCTCCTATCCCCCAGTGGAAAAAAAAAACAAAAAACCACTCCCCAAAAAACACCTTTTCCCATTCTGCTCCAAAGTTTGACTGTCTTGTAACTTTCCATGTTGCTGAGTTAGATGAAAAGGCTGCTACACTGAGGCCTCTCACAACATCTGCAAAGGATGGACAGTCACAAGGCTCCCGAGACCCTTTCATCTAAGGAGCCACAACCACAGGCTGCTGCTGCTTGGAGCAAGTAAGAGAAAGAGGCAAAGACACTAAAAGATCAGGGAGGAAAAAAGCCTTTTTATTCTTTTCTCTTTTTTCCCCAGCTTTGCTTTAAAAGAGAAGACTAAACTACTCTTGCAGTCAGTCCCAGGGGACTACCTGGATTTACTTGCAGAGAAAACTGCTTCCTCCCTTTTCAGGAAGAGAACGAAACAAAACTAAGCTCCTTGCCTGACTGCAGTGCATAAATTTAGATGCAGTGTCAGGGTCTAGGCACAAATTCCTCACTTATTAGGTAAGGACCACTGAATCATTTAATCTGCAGATAAGACTTGTCTAGGCTGATCCACCAGCACAGCGCGCTGTGCTCACACACAGGAGGCTTGCGCCGGCAGCCGCAGCCTGTTCCCAGTTATTGCCTCACTATGAAATCTTGCAGCCGTGGTGGAGCACCGCGCTCGGGAGCTGGGGGATCCCCTGGTGCGACGGAGCTCGTGCTCCGGATATAGAGCAGGAGCGACTAATGGAATAACTGTGTTTGTTCTGAAAGCCGGTGGCAGGACCTCCGTGGGAAGTGGTGTTGGGAAGGAGTTAAGAGGAGGGCAAAATCAAGAATTCAGGGCATTATTCAAGGATAGGGGACAGTTCTAGGTCACGTCATGGATGCCTGCCAGAAAACTGTACAGTTTTGTCTCTTTTGAGATCAAAAGCTATTAGAGAGCTATTAGAAAAGACAGGATCAGTCTCCTTTCACCAGTCCCTGTGCATACAGTATGTGGACCACATTTGCTTGAGAGGGTGAAAATAGACCCAGACAAGTTACAAACAAGTTACTTTAGCCACTGACCCCACATCTTGCAGGCTGCTTGCTTTGCCTTGCACTGCCTAGCTCCATCCCACAGACTGCAGACACACAGCTGCCAGAGATGATGCTCAAAATCTGTCAGTGCCTCAGCGGGGGGTCCCTCCGGCCCCTGGAACTCCTTCCTCCTTCCTTCCTCTGGTGCGGTTGGTCTTGTACAAAATGCACGGGGGGAATTGGACGCCAGCTGCGCTGGGATGCAGTAAGGCCTTACCAGCCACAGGCATCCTCATGAGGTCAAGCACAGTGACCTGTGCTGTGTGCTGGGAGCACAAGGAGCAGCACCGTGCCCCATCGGTGGGACAAATAAAGCAGGTGGAAAGACAGAAGTGGGCTCTGGAGGTGCTACACTCTCTGCCGGGGACAGGCCCTCTAATAGTTGGAGCAATCCCGTGGTCCAGTCTGAAGAGTATTAGATAAGCAGCTGTGCATGAGGGAATAGCTCTCTGCTGGGAGAGAGACACGCAGCCGCTCAGAGATCAGATGTGACTACAATGCATCACAAAGAAGCTGTGTTTTTCCATTCAGGAAACTGGAATTGGGTACAGATTTGTTTATCAGACCAGCTGCTCAGCCCGAACTGAGTGAGGCCCACGGACACCAGATGCCACCGGCATCAATCAGAGTGTCCTGCCACCAGAGTGACAGCTAGCATTTCTCATCGCGCCAGGCAAACAGATACATCAACAGGCAGACCGCCTCTCTTTTATTAAATCAAAAATTAAAAATCTATGCAAGTGAGGAGAGTTTCTCAGAAACAGCTTGAATTCCCTTTTGGAAGTGGCAGTAAATAAAATGTCGGTAGAAAGTATGAAAGGGGCAGCCCAAGAAATCGGCATTCATGTGGCAGAGGCAGCACCGAAACTGGAAACCTGTGGGAGGGAGGGCGTTCAGGAGGATATTTACTACAAACATTCCTCGTTTGTATGAAGTCCAACAAGGCCATCTCGAGAAGAAAGAAGGAGCGTGAGGTCCTGAGATCTTTCAGGCTCCTGCTGCCTTTGGGATGCTTCAGATCACTCCGTCAAGCCCCACAGAAAGCACACCACAGGAGGCCTGGCAGAATGAAGGGGGCATGTAAAGCCCTGTGACCTCCTTCATCCACTGCCTTGGCTGACTCCTTGCACAAGCAATAGGTGCCAGGCTCTGAGCCTGCACAGACTGCTCTCGCTTTGCCACGGCTTTTGTTTTGACTGCCTCATAGGCTCTCCTTTCCTACCAAACTAGAGTGGTGGCCCATGTCTGTTGTTACAACAAGCTGTAACAGAGATAGGTTCGATGTTTCAGACAGTCCTCTAACAAAGGCTCTGCTATTGGGAAGGGGTAGGGCAGGTGGAAATCACACAGACTGCAAGTTGCATTTTGATCCACCAGGTAAGCAGAACTGGCATCTGGCAAAGGAAGGCAATAGCACCAACAGTCTTACCGCAGCAGTGCAGGGCACAGGCACAAACCCTTAAGTCTGTGGGTACCTGACTGCAGACCAACCAAGACTGAGTCAGAGGCATGCATTTTTAATTAACAGGTCACCTTTTCCAGGCTGCACGACTTAGTATTAAGTATACTAGGTGGGTTTTTTTCCTGCCTGTTATCAGCAAAGTTACCATGGCACCAGCTCAAAAGCAGTAGGGGCAGGTATCGCTGAAGCCAGCACAAGGTGGAATGAACTGCTCCTCTGGTTTGAGAAGCTGGGGTTCCCCTTGAGGATGTGCATGTGATCAGTGGTACCCATTTCTGATTGTTTTTCTTCTGGAAGGAACCATGCTTTTCCTATGAGCACAATTCGACAACTGTGCCAATAAGTGCTGCTGACAAGGAGAGCTCCTTGCCTGTGGGGCCTTTGCCTCTGCTCCTTCCATCTCACTCATACCTGAAGAGCAGAGGTGCAGCTCATAAAACAGAATGGTGGAGTCTTAAAGCATGGAAGACATTTACTGTCAACACACAATTCACCACTGGGACTCCCGACTACAAACTACCACTGAGACTGCAAGTTCAGGAGGATGCAGGAAGGTTATTATTGGTTTCTCCTCAGCAGAGGCCGGATACAGATTTCCCTGAGGCTTTCCCACTGATTCCAGTGGAAAACCAGAAGGAAAGAAGTTTTTTCTGGAGGCTTTTGCAACTCTGACATAGCCTTTGAGCTGGGGGAGATTTGGACATTTCAGAGAAAGCTGCAGACCCTTATATAGCTGCCCAAGTCTCCAAACTGCACCACAGAAGGCCCTTAGATAAAGCTACTCTCCTCAGCCTTCAAGAGCTAAACAACACCGTAAATACCTGCTGAGCTCAGTGTCTTCAGAATTCCTTACCTGTGCGAGGAGTCCTGGCTGGATCTGAAGAGGCTGGGCCCCAGGAGCCTGAGTGACAATGGGAACTGCGTTCTCCATCCGAACCGAATACCCAGCATGCTTTGAAGGGGAGGCTTGTAACCCTGTTCCACCAGCACAGAAGGTACAGCATTAGCCATCAGCAGCACTGCTAGGAACAGGGCTCTGGTTTTCAGAGGTGCCTAAAGGCACTCGCTGATGTCCACTTAAATTGCAATATACAGTCCCTCTGAAAAATTGGGCTATCAGAGTGCCACATGTTCTACCCCAGCCCAGAGATGTCCAACAAATGTTCACAAACATGATACATGTATAAGGGTACAGAAAAGACATTTTCAGAGGTATTAAGGGAATAACTGAGTTCATATTTTTAGCGTACCTCAAATGCACAGCAAATATCACGATACAGTGTATACAGGGAGAAAAAGAAAACAGTAGAGTGAATGGCTTCTCTTCACAATATTCTCCAGTTTGACAACAGAAAATGGTCTTTGCCAGCCCAAACCTATTGCTACGTGAGAATGCTATCTTTAGACCAAAGTGGGACAGTGGGATGGGAATCCAGAACTCAGTACTCCCTTTTCTCTTGAACAGCTTCTTGGGACTCATATTTGAAAGGCTCCAGCACACCCCAAACTGATTAAGCCACACATAAGCCTAACCGAGCAGCAGGAAGCTTCCCTCTCCACCACCTCAGCACAGCCTGTGCTGCCTCCTCTGCTTTAGAGCTTTCTCAGGACAGCAAGCTGAAGATGTTAGCTTATGTACTCTAGCAATACATTTCTGAAGTCAAACCCCTGAGATGCATTTTAACTACGTAGAAGAGGTCTAGCTAAACTTCTCTAGTTCAAAAGAGCTTTGATAATCTTGCAGAACATTTAACAAGTGCCTAGAGACTGCTGCACAGACAGGCTTGTAGAACTGAAGAGTAGAAGTTGCACCAGCTGAACCAAGGTCTATTTAGCCCACTTCCTACAGATACCCATCTAGTTTTCCAAATTGCTACAGCATGTAAAGTTAAGAGAAGGACAAGTGGCTAATTCTGATCATCACCCAAGTTGTCTAACAGTGGTACCTACTACTATATACACAGGCAGAGCTGTTTGCAGTGGGGTGGAGCTGAGGGAATTTTATTCATAAATGGTCATGAGCATGTTATGGGGGCAAACCCTCATCTCCACCCCCACCATGCTCCCTGCTGCATTACCCTCCTGAGTTCCCCTTTTAGCAATAGAATCACTGAGAAGTGATGAGCCCATTATTCATGTGCTGATTCACGTTACTGTGGGGGAAAGCTTTCAAGTTTACCAAAGTATGGCAGAAGAGCCTTCAAACTCTGTTCAGGGCAAAAGAGGACAAACATCACATATTCTCCCTCAGCCCCTTCTCAGCATCTGCCCTGTTGTTTTAGACCAGCTACCTCCAACTCATGCTGTCAGAGGTCCCTGCAAGATCCTCCACCACTGCAAACATTTCCACCTGCAACAACCTCACTGCTCCGATTTACTAGGCCAGCCTTCTTCCTGCCACATGACCTGCACTGAGGGAGCTCATTTCCAACACGAGCTGGACTAAACAGCAGTGGGGAGGGAGCAGCAACTGGCCAAGGTCCGGTGAGGCTGTTCCTTACCTTGGAAGCCTGGTGGGCAGACGATGAGAGCTTGCTGTAAGGGGTCGGGGCGGGCACAGATCTGCGCTGTTCCTGTCTGCAGGGGCATGCTCCGCTGGGCCACCGCAGCCATGGACGCCGCTGAGGGCTGGTAGAGTGCAGATTGGTAATTTAGTATGGAGACCTCGGGGTTGGCTAAGGAAATAGTGGCACTGGAGGAGGTGGGAGCCAGGTTGGTGGTCTAAAGGAATGACGGGAATTAAACAAAAAAACAAACAAAAAAATGAGGGAGATGGGTACGTTGGAAGAAGCAAAATCCAAAAACAAAATAAAAAAGTAAAATAGTGTAAGATAAAGTGAAAAAAAGAAACCAAACAAACCAAAACAAACAAAACAGCAAACCAAAACCAAACAAGGGGTAGAACAGGACACTGAGGAGCACAGAGATAAGGGCAGCGCTGGGGAAAGGAGCACAATCCGCCTGAGTAACCACAGCTGTACCACACCACAGGGCCTCTGGCCATGCAGTGCTGCTGTGAACTGCTGAGAGACACAGCACATTCTCTAAAGCAGAACTGTAGCCCCATTTCTCACCCAACTGCCTCTGATTTGCAGTATGATGAAGATGGGGTCAGAAAATGTTACTATCCACAAATCATGTTGTTCACTCATCATGTACATAGGTCTAGGAGCTGCTCATATTTCTGAGGTAAAATAAACTCAGCACCTCCACGCCTTGTGAAATCTCATCCTGAGAGGGGAGATTCATTCCAGCCCTTTCTCTTAGATACCTTGCATCTAAGATGGCACATGCCTCTTGAATTATGTTTGGAATTTGAAGTAATCAGAAGGCATAACAGGTGGTAATACTAATACTTGCAAAGTCCAAACTTGGCTTGTCTTTAAAATCTCTTAGAGCAGAAACTCCAACAGGGGATGTTGCAAAGCCACAAAAATCATCCCAGTGTTCTGCAAAACATCTAGAAATCTGAAGACTTTTTTCATTTGGACTGAGCCTAACAGTTGCAGACAATTAAACAGCTCTGTCACTGCTCTAAAACTATGTCCTTAGCATTCATGCCCAGGCAGCCAGACTACCAGACCAGAGCCCATCCTTCCCCTCTGCCCAAACATACGGAAGCATTGCTGGACATAGGTCAGACACTACTTTCTCCTGGCAAATGACAGGTCAGACAACGCTTTCTCATGGTGAATATATGAACCCAGGAGGAGGCTTTGATCAAGGCTGGAGGAGACAGCAGACTAAGCATTTTGCACTGCACTGGTTGCTACTGGACCCGTGCTGCACTGCCACAGCCACAGCCACGAAGAATGTGACGACAAAACATTTCTTCCTCCTCCCCTCTCCATGCAGAGGCAGTGAAGTGCAATCTGCTCTCCTGTGCAACATACTGAGCAGCAACCACAACAGCTCCCACACTCCTAATCTCAGAAGCTGTAACTGGAAGGAGGCAATCCCCAGACATTTTGCAGAGACAGGAAACAAAAGAAAGCTAAGATGAATGGTATGTTGAAGAGAATTGTGAAAGGCTTAGAGCTTGTTCAAACTAAAAAACCCTTCCTGGAAATATTTCTACCACTTCTTCTAGGAACACTGGAGATACTGGTTCTGCTCACAACACACACCCCTTGCGAGAATTCAGAAATTACCATGGATCTCCCCAGCCAACAACTGATCGTAATGTCAAGTGAGCTGTGAGGAAATGAAAGCAAGTCTGCATTTCCTACTAGCAACTGTGGTACAAATGGTGTCTCTGCCCTGCAGCTGGGGCCTAGGGGAGCCTGTAGTGTGCATTTCTTTAGTCAGCAACTCAGAAAGAGACAAGAAAGGGAACTGGTGTTTGCAACTAATACCCTATCACACCAAGTCATGACCTATCTCTGTCTGAATCTGCTTGAATTGTTTCAAAAGACCTTCTGTGATCACATGTATCAGGACCTGAGTCACGAAGTCTGGTTTTCTGACTGACGCAGGAACACCCTGTAGGTCTACACAGACTCCTTTAGCTCCCCGGCTTTCCAAACACCACTTCCGCAATGCCACCTGCAATCTCTAGACTGAATCTTGAGCAGCCTGTTCCCAAGAGGCTTAAAAGACAGTAGCTATTTCTTGAGCTTCAGTCTCCTACAGTGCTCTCCCTGGAGAGTTTCCCTTCACTGCTGTAATACAGTACCGCAGTAAACAACTTCGTCTGCTAGTCACAAAAAATTTGTCAACACAGCACCCCCCCAACACTGGGGCAAGTGAAACTAATACAAAGCACAATTATAAAGCCAGAGCCCACTGAAGTAGAGTGCAGTTTGTTCACAGTGGGGATACGTGCACACAGTCCCCACATCAACTGTGGCACCTGGAGTAAAACCAATGCGAGATAAGAATAAACATTATCATTAAACTCTTCTTTCATGTTGATCAGTTACAGTGCTGTGTCTGTTCCAGAAGGGTTTAAATTCTTTTTACTTCAATGCAAATTTGAAGAAGTGCTGTAAGATCACAAATACTTCTGCCTGACCCAGGGAGTGAAGTCCTACTTGCTGCATTAAGGGACTAATGAGCTTTTCCCCATAGCAACTTCCAAGTAAGCAGGATTTATCACCCCAACAACAACATAAACAACATGGGCAACATTTCACCATCACACAAAATGCCACGAAATTACTGCTTGCCTGAAGAAAAGAGAATGACGAAAGGAGCAGAGGAAGGAGAGTAAAAAGGCACCATCTCTTGGCAGGCATGTTAAATGGGATGCTACTTCGCTTTTCATCTTCTAGACCCTGCTGACATAAAGGTTTCAAGCACTGTCTGCTTCTGATCAATGCCCTTACCTGGTTGTGGACTGTGTTCAGCTGGTTGTTAAAAGTCATGGTCAAGTTGGTTGATGTACTTGGGGCTACGTGGGTGATGAATGGCGTCTTGCTCTGGTTCACTGTGTCATACATATTCACCCGCCGCTTGCAAATCTCCATGTTCTGGAAGCAGGACTTGACACTGTGTAAGGAAAGGGGGGCAAGGAAGAGACAGAAAATCAACCAACCGACTAACACAGGTTCATCACAGTGGCCCTGCATTAGGTCTCCACGGCAGGTCTAGCACTTTCTAGGCTCTTAAAGCCCTTTGCTGTTTTATGCAGGTCTCTCTTAACCAGTGAGAGTCAGTTTAACTCTGTACTGAAAAGGCCAAGACGAGAGCGGCTGCTTTGGGACTCCTGGGTGCTCCCATGGGTCTCAGCACTGCAACACAAATCACAAGCAGCAAGCAAATTGGTTGCTCTTTAGGTGACAAGGCAAGAAATACAAAGTGGCTATTTTTAAGGACTGAAAGAGACTGAGAGCAAGAAAGAAAGATAGATACTGTTTTTTTTCTGATGATTGAGCCTGAGAGGAAAAGACAACTCACGCTTTTGCCTCTGTGCAAGCCTAAAGGTAGTTTTACACGTCCTTTGCAAGGAAGAATTCTACTATTCTTGATCACTGAGACCACTAAAAAATCTCCCTTGTTCCTTTCAAGAAGTAGTTTACTGAGAGCTGAGTCCAGCCTAGCCCTTAAAACATTGCCCCTGTCTGGCTAAATGCTTGTACAGATGCTTATCTTGAAGCACATGAGACCTCCTCTTGCAGTCAATGGGACAATTCATATTGAAAAAGGTTATGCCAAATCAGATTCATCAATGCCCCAAGGCAATCCGGTTCTGAGGTTATCTCACACTGAGAATTAGATCTCTGGGGGAAAGATTACAGCTTCTTTCTCTACGCTGACTTTCCCTACGCTGACTTTCCCTTAAATGTTATTGATATAGCAATGGAAATTTTGAGAAGTATCATATTTTGTGCCTCCTGCAAAGGAGATGAAATACTCTCTACATTTTTAGAGCTCACCAGGCATCTACTACATGAAACTGTCAGTATTTCATTTTTATAATTAGGATACCGAAGCATACAGAGGTTAAGAAATAACAACACAGCAAACCTGTGCAAAACTATATTTTTAATAAAATCTCATTTTTTGAGGTCTAAAAACCAATACAGTTTTCCCACAATTCCTCCATAATAATTGATTTTACAAATGCAATCTTAGAGTCTGAAACTCAACCCCAAAAAGTATAAAGGCATTTATTTTATTTCCATTATCTCAACACAGAAAAATAGCAATTCCAAGCAGTGAAAATCAGCTGTAGCTGTAAAAATCAGCTGTATGCTGATTGTTTTGTAATGATCTAAACTGCTAGAGGAGGTAAACATATCCTCACCTAATTTTTAAGAAACGAAATGTCCCTTCAAAAGGACAACCTCATATGATCCCTCGAGCTGGTCAGGAAGAGGACCTAAATCTTTTCATCCCTATCTTTTCTCTTATTCAAATGGTCACCTCTCTTTTCCTGTGAGTAATATCTGGATAACTGGATCTGGGCCATAAACACCTGCAGACAAGACAGGCTCAGGACACTGTGCACAGCTGCACATTATGAGCATTCACTTACAGAACTATACCTGTTAGTTGCAGAACATTCAGCAAAATCAAACACTTATCAAATAAATACAGAAGACTATTGAATTGCATTTTTTCCAGTCAAGTATGAACATAATTCCCCATTCAAAAAGCAAAAAGCATTGAAAAGAGTGTATATTCTCTACATGGTGAACTGTGTGTGTTACTAAACAGTTTTATATAACAAGGTGTAAGCTCTACTAATGCAACACCATGTTCTCTGTGCTTACTTTAAAAAAGGGGGGGATAAAAAAAGGCAGGGACAAATCAAAACAGAAAAAGTCCGAGGAGTACTCAGCAATTTAAGATCCAGGCAGCTAATTATGTGAAATGGGGACCTAAAGTCACTTTGTTGTCTGCTTGCAAGTAAGCAGAACAGCCCATCTCGTGCTGCTCAAACTTGCAGCCTCCCTGAAGCGTGCCACAGCAGATTCCTTCCAGAAGTTACAGCTTCCACATATTCTCACTTTCTCTGTTGCCCGATTTACTTTCAAGACAGATTACAACTCCCTGCATCTCTCAAGGCTTTGAAGTTTCTATTCTCCAAACTACAGGCAATCACAGACAAAATTTCCATCAACTTGCCATGCTGGTTACAGCTTATTGCTCTCTTTTCCAATCACTGCTTCCTACATGGAGGGGCTGTGCGGGGTTACGCACCCGGCTGGCACAGCATTTAGTATTCAGAGACCTGATGCTGAATTCTTTACTTGGGTAAAATCCTCACTGCTATCGGCCCCACTGATATTTTCAACCTTTCTGGGGCTTCGCCTCAGCAGCCACAAGTGAGCACTTCAAAAATGAAGATGTGGTTATGGTCTGTTGCGTTAGTGGAAAGATTTCTGACGGCAATGCATTAGGTCACAAATCTCTCCTATCTTACACAATCAGTTGTTGCACAGTAAGAAGGATTGTTGCAAATTAAGAGACTTCTGTCTATGATGCTCACGCTGTTAGAAAATACTGTCATTTTTTATTTATGAGTGGTTTTTATATGAAACTTACTTTCTCCCTGTTTAGCACAACAATCTCCCATCTTGTTTTCATTACATTTATCATTTACTATCTATTTAGAGATAACAATGCTCCAAAATGGCTGTGCATGGTACGTCTGGGTCTACACAGATCGTGCACCCACTACCTTCTGGTAAGCAGCTGCTCTTATCTTGTGATAAATGTAACAAAAAGGCAGCTACAGCTCCTTCAAAGAGGGAAAGCTACCTTAAATGAACTTGAAATACCGCAGCCACACATAGAAGCAGGAGAGCTGACACAGTTACCTGTTGCTTTGCAGCACTCACACACACATACTCTAGAGCTTTTTAAGGAATCTCCTTTAATTTTGTACCTGAGCTCCTGACAGCCTTTAAACACTCATGCAAATGGTACCCAATGAAGTACAACACTGTGCTGGCCACTGTTCTCCTGTCAAGTGGAAGGGACAGCCTGCAAAAGCACCTTGAACTGCAAGTGCTGTAGAGCAGGATATTCAAAGCTAGGTGTCCTGAAGGCTTTGGAAAACTCCCACTATGTATCTACCTTTTTCACTTACACCTGAGAAGCCTGGCCCTATGTGAACTGCCCAGGGGACAAGGGCAGTGGGCTGGGTGCAGGTTTCCTGCACTTCAGGCTGCTCTGCTCTGTAATGCAGCCTTAGGAGAAGGGGCAGTCAGGCTCAAAGGCATGACACTTCTTCACATCTCCAGCAAGCCACAGAGCCCATCTCCATTCCACACGTGTGTCAGATGAGGTCACAGCGTGGTATTTAAGGTGACACAGGCAGACAACAAACAGCTGAAAATCGAACTCCTCATCCTGTTGCCTATGCTTTTAAAACAGAGCTGCTGCAGAATAGCTTTTCCCTTAAAAAGCAAAGAGCCCCAAACTGACCCCTGCAAGATGGGAAGGTTCTGGGAGTAAAGGTCGGTTCCCCACTGCAGATAAGGTTGATTACTTCAGTAACAATCATTACTATATTACTTTGAGTTAGACTGATAGTTTCAGCACTAATTGCATAATTTCTTCTGCATTTTAATGGAAAAATACGTAATTATTGAATATTTACATAATTAATGTAGCACACACTTCAGCATTTTAAACGCCAAGCACCCACAACACAATTCTAACAACCTTGACTTGGCAATCCCCTTTTTTTTAACCAGGAAAAGATTAAAACTTAGGGTATAAACACCTTAACAATGCCCTTCAGATACATTTGGTCTCCACCACAGCCAACTCTTCCCTTCACCCTCCAGTTCAAAACCCAAGGGAAACAAAAGCCACGTACTGTGTGCTGTGAGGGAAATCGAGCAAGTGCGTCATGGTGACAAAAGGGTGGCTCAGAGTTTCAATGGGTGTTATCCTCTTATCTGCATCTATCGTCAACATCTTCTTTAACAGATCTATAAACTCCCGCCGGTCTGCCTTTTCCACCAACATATCACTTCCTTCCAAATCCGTTGTCATGTTTACCTAAAGGAGAAACGACAAGAGTGAGCGCCAAAGGAAAGAGCAGATGGTCAGGTCTCCAGCAAACCGTGTTTACTCCTCGCTGGAGCACATGCCCTGCAAGCCTCCCTGTCTAAAGGGGTAGTTGCTGAAGTCACACGGCACACTCTGGCTGGTCATCTGGCCTGTGCATGTCAGATCTCTAGACAGACTGTAAAGTGTTCAGCTCGCTTGGGTCAATGGCTAATGAAACACTTAGTCACCCTCCACTGATGATGAACAGCTTCCATGTGGTAGCAGGCAAGCTCTCATAATCAGCGTATTTATCATACAAAGTACTGTGCTATCAGATACTTATCTATGTGTCCCGTGAGCAAGAGATATATAAAATAAACAAAAATTCTCAGAAGTTTTATGAGAAACATCCCATCCATGTATCAGGTGCCAGGAAAAAAAACCCCACGTTATTTCATGCATTTATAAAGTCTCCCCTGATTCCAGTCTTCCATTTCTGCATATTTGCTTATCAATGCTACCATGTCTAGACTTTGCTAGTACAAACTCCAGTGTTGAACCAGTTTTGCACAATGATTTGTGTGTTAGCACAAACTCCTGTCGCAGGAGTGGTTATGCTGGGATTACCTTTCGCAACTATATGGAATTGACAAGTGAATTAGTACTCCCCATTCCCCCAGGCAGCCACATTTTACAGAGAGCACTCTTCTACAGCCATGGTGAGTATTTCCAGTGTCACCATTTATCAAACAGAAATATTAAAGCACAGGGGACTTGCCAGTGGTCACACAGAGGAGTACTGCATAGACAAGAGAAAACGCAGGATTTCAACACTCAGAGATGTGACTTAGTCATTTTCCAAGGCTGCTTTACTATGGCTGCAGTCACCCCTACAAAGCTGGATATAACAGCTAATTTGGTAGGCATAATCCTGGTATTTTTCAGGAGCTGGCACAAGTACAGGATGTGCAGAGAACTCATGTAATTCCCTTTTTTTAGTGCTGCCAGAAGGCATATAAACAGTCTTCCTGGTTACTCACCAATACTCTTACCTGTGCCATATCATCCAAACAGTTGAAAATATACTTTCTTGCTTCCTTCGACTTAATCCCCGTCTCTGCCTCATGATCATCTGGCGTCTGCTCAAAAAAGGACAGAGGCATTGACCAACACCACCCTGCAGTCAGCTGTGCTTATGTGCCCACATGTGCCTCACTGTCCTCATCAGAGACCACCGTGCCTCTCTTGCCTGACCAGACAACATCAATGTGATTTCTGCTATGGTTATGTGACATCTTTTGTGTCACAAGGTGATTTATCTATTCCCTTTCACTTCTGAGGATCCTCCCAACTATGGTGGGTGTCTTACACCCATCCTAGCTCAGAATCCTATCCTTACAGCCAGAAGCCCACTGGCCTCTCTCCCTGGGGGACTGCGTGCAGCCAAACACACTGGCACACGAGACTCAGGGCTCACCTACATTACAAGTGGTTTTGATTGTCAGAATTAAAATGCTTGCCTTTCCCCCCCCCCCCCCAATGCATTAGATATTAGAGCAAAGTCTGCCAAGGGCATGTTTCATTTAAACTACACACCAATCCACAGACTACTTAGAGGAAGATTTCCAGGTCAATTCTAGACTTAAATTTCCCATAAAGCAATGCTGAGCAGGTGTGTTATGGGCTGCAGACTTTGGGGATGGCAGTTTTGCCTTGGGCCATACCCACCCCAATGTCTGCACTGCACTGCAAAAAGCAGAGACCTAGGCTCTGAGGTGACCTGAATATCTCCTCACTTCCAAGCAACTGCAAGGTAAAAGAAATAAGGAAATGTCTTCCTACCTTCAGTCTCCACAAAGGATATGGTGAGTCTGTATCCCTGTTGAAAAACCTCGTAGTCTTTGTCCCTGCACTTAACAAATACTCTGCTGGTAAGCCCTGCGTCTGTGAAATATAGCGAATCTGTAAGAGAAGGATGAGAGGTCACTGTTCGTCCTGTGAAGATCTCTGGAGGTCTTCCCCAAAGGAGTGCAGGAGGCATTTGAAACAACGGAACAAAAAAAGAGAAAACGTAGCACGCAGTTAGACTTCACCCAAAAAACTTCAGTGCAAGGAATGAGAGGAAGGAGAACTTCCGTATGGAATTCCCTCCGTTTATCATGTACATCACTGGAAACTCACCCTACAGCACAGTCCCACAAGGCCTAAGGACAAAGACAGGAAAGCCCCTAAGTTTTGGAGATCAGAGAAAAGATCCAGACAGCTACTTCAATGGGGTGTCTCATCGCTTTGCACCTTTTTATGTCACTCCCTCCTCTCCCAGAAAGAATTTCAACAATTTGCTATTTTCTCTCTAACTTTTGCTGGTTTTCCTCCACCTGAGTGCACAGCCTGTCCTGGGAGCAGTTTGAAGTTCAAAATGGAAGACTATGAAGTGACTGTCTTTGAACTTGGACGAAATATACTCTCAAATGAAGTGACACCCCCATGGTATGTAAAGTACTTCATCTCTAATGACAACTGCATGATGTCATTTATTATGTGGGTTACATCCACAAGCATGATCTCACTGGCACCCACACAGCTAAAAGGTACTACACATGTTTCCAGAATCTCCAATTTTAATTTTTTTATAAAGGAGAAAGGGTCTGTGATTACACAATTAAAAACACACATGCCTGGGGTGCCACATGAAACCTTAACTTTGGTATCTTCTGACTCCTGAACGTTTCGTTCTGAAAAATTGCTGCAGACTCTGCAAAACTGCTCAAAACAGTCATCTACTCTAGAAAACTCCAGGGAAGAATGGAAAGTGATTTTTAGAGAAGAGACAGAGAGGGATAAAAAAATTAATGAAGGCATAAAAATCAGCTGCTGTTTCAAAGACCTCCAAGCACTCAGTGCTTGGAAGGACACAGTTCACTGTGCATGCAGCTCTGCTGCTCCTTAGGTCCATCAGAAGAGCTCATGCACCAGAGAGGCACCAAGATCCTGCCCCAGTGCTGCAGCAAGGGGCCAGGATCAGCCCCTACCCCTTTCCCAGCTCCCCAGGAGCCCTCCTCATACTTTACTAGAGGAAGCCTTGTGCTGGGCAGTTAAGCTGGCCAGTAAAGGTATGGTGATTTCTTTTTCAGCTGCGTGTTTTATGGCTTTTGGGGTGCAAATGGGAAAGGAAAGAAATCCACTCTTCATGCTTGGTATGTGATTTTCAAACGCTTGTAAGTTTTTCAGCTATGTCTGATTTCCTTTGGAGTCACTAACAGCCCTGCTCTTCACTGCAAGTTATTTCCCCTGCCAAATATTACCTTTAGAGCTCTGAGTAAAAAAATACTAGTTTCAAAAGAAGAGTCAAAACATTTAAATTTATGATAAACTTATTATCCTGCTTTTTTTTTGGTAAAATCTATTTCCTAAAAGAAAAAAGACCCTTTACAGGCTGCATTTGCAGACAGCTAAGATCAGCCTGAAGAAGACTGTGGGAATGGAAAGTGTTCCAAAGCCCTGGCTCCAGCAGCCGCTGTGTTATCAGTTTTAGGACTACAAAAAGAGCACAAAAGCCTATAGGGAGAAAAAGGACGACAGCTTATATTAACTGGAAACCTACATCAATGCGAACCTTCTCCTTCTTGTCATTGCTTTTAATATGCACTCTCATAAAAGGGTTATGAAATGCAGCTGAGTTTGTGCAGTTTCTTCTAACAAATAAACCCTTATTCAGCCCTTGCTCTTACAGCAGAGAAAGGGTGCCTGCTCTGCTCAGCGAGGAGAGACATGTACACAGCTCTCCAGTCAATGGTAGCGTTGACTCTTGATTGAGATTTCACTTAGGCAGTCAGGTCTTAAAAGCCAGCATACCAAGCAGCACACCGGTTACCCAGAATAAACACCCCAGGTGGATAACGACAGGGTTGCCTTGGGAGGGTAAGAAACACAGACCCCTCATTAGCAAAAGTGAAAAAGCTGGCATCTGTTCACTCTGACAAGAGAAGGGAAAAGCACCCGTGCACTTACCAGGACCCAGGGCAATATCCATACCCACCTGATCGTACTCCGAAGCTCCCGGGTATAACGGCCAGCCCAAAAACAGCTCTGCAATGACACATCCCAATGACCACATATCGATTGCTTCACAAAATGGTAAACCAAGGATGATTTCAGGGGCTCTGCAAAGGAAGAGGTTAGAAAACATCAGTAAGGGGAGCAGACCCACTCAGCTGGCATAGGATGGCTGGTGCTGATTGGGACACCCATGAACCTGTGGCCAACAAGTGTCACTGCTCTGACAGAGCTGAGGGACCCACTGGCTACTGGCAAAGTGCCTGCTAACCAAACATTAGTCGGTGAATATTTATCCTTGCAGAGGAGTACTATGGCTGTATACAGCCAAAAGACAGCCCTATGTTTTGCAGCATTTTGTAAAGGAGAGTGTAGTGGGTTTATGTAACTACCGTTATTTTCATTCAGCAAGTGGGAATTTGAAGCCACCCACTTAAGGCCCCAACTCGAGGCTCTCAGGCCCAGCTCACTGTCCTGTGGAGAACTGAGTAGATTCCCCATGGTGAAGCATCCTCCGTTCACACAGATTGGTGAGTTCACAAACAGCCAGACATTAAATAATCATTATAGGACTGGTATAAAAGGATTACTGACTTTTTAAACAAATGGTTGTAACAATAAATCAGAGAATAACGTAATTAGATCTATTAGACCTAAGCTTTTTCCTCAGGAGGAAGTAGCCATGAAGTCTTCCTTTCCCAGTCTGTCCCAGGCACCTGATTAGATTTGCTTTTCCCTTTCAGCCCAAACAGTCAAAATGCAGTGGCACTATGACTGCATTTACTGTCAGCTTCAGGAGATGCCACCAAAGCACCTCTGACCCACCCCTTCCAAGGGGAATCTGTCCCACTGCTTGGGGATAGTTTGAATCCTTCTTCACTGATGCTGAAAAGGTCTGTATGACGAGGTTAGACAAGCTCGCTCAACTCCAGTGGCCAAGGTGAGATGAATCCTGACCTTAGTGCCCCAAATGCTCTGTTTCAGAAACAACTTCTTTGTGGAAGGACGAAAAGGATCTAACAAATACTGAAAATCTTATACACACACAAACACCTTCCCTACTTTTCCCACCTCTGCCTAAATGTCCACATGCAGTTCAGTGACATAGTTTCTACTCTACACTGGGATCACCGAAAGCTTCTCTCCTGCTCTTTTTGCAACATTTCTAGAGCCCCAGCTTCTGGAGTCAGGTGATGTACAGCAGAAAGAATAACTTCCTTTCCCACACTCCTCTAACTATAAAGAAAAAAAAGAAGACAGAGAAAAGAAACGCACATTGCTTTAAAACTTTCATAATTTTAAATATAGCCTTGAGATTTCTTGGGCCCTGATGCATATCTTGGGAATGCCTGGGGTTGACTATTGAGCAAATCAAGTGCCACCATCCGAAGCTTGAAATGGGACCCATGGTTCCCAGTTTCCCATCTGTCATCAGGATAAGATCTGACAGTAGTGAGATCATACTAAGAATTACCAATTGCAGTGGAAAATATTATGTTTTAATCACACCACTACAATCATGTGAAGACAAGTCTTTAGCCAAGAAACCAAGCAAAATGGGTAATTTTTTCCAAAGAAAGAAGCAAAGGCCTTGTAGCAAGAAGCCATGCCCCATTTTCAGTCCACAAACTTCCACAACTTTGGGTTGACCTGTAAAAATAAAAGCCCCAAAATATCTATTCTCAAACCAGCAATGCAGAATGTAAAAATTTCAGGAAATTCTGGGATTTTAAAGTTAGAATACTTTGTGTCATTACCACAAAAACCAAGCCAGAAACTTAAAAAGTGGCTACCTTTAGCCCTCCTAGCTACATCTGTGTTTGTTGTCATACTCTACTGTTCTTTAGCCCACTGTGACAATTTTTTTTTTCTAACACCAACTTCTCCTTATGAGGAAGGGGTTAATTTTCCTCCCTTTCTCCCTTTTCCATCATCCCTGTCATCCCTGCACACTACTCGACACCTAGACAAAATGCAGAGAAAAAAAGACAGCTATGGTGACCTGAATCTCATTACTATGTAAATCCTGCATTCAAAGCCATCTGCCTCTCCCTGTCTGCCTTCCACATTGTGAACGAAATGTCCCTGGTCACTAATGGGAGCTCAGCCACGCATCACTCCCCCCCCCCTCCAACTTCAAATCCCTCCCCCTAACTCAAGTGGAGGGAGTGGAGGGGTGGACTATCGGTGGGATATTCCCAATGTTATTTTGTGGAAAAAACTCCCTGTTTATAAAAATCGCTTGCACAGCTTTCGTACGCAGCACACTCCTCCCTCCCTCTCTCCCCACACTTATGCTGCCAACACCTCCAGACCCCGGCAAGAAGGGATGACCTAGAATTTGAGGTTCCAATATTCCTTTTTTTTTTTTCTCCTGAGTCTTTGGCTGTCCAGTGGGTTTTCCTTAAAGCTGCACTTTCTGGAATGCAGTGATTAGGAGACAATTTCTTTTCTACATGCAAAAGAAGTTTTGCATCTCTGCTGCTGGGAAGAAAAGCACAAGCCAGTGCCCATATTATTTAAACACATAAAATGCAACTAAACGGAACACCATTCATTCTATTAAACCAGACCCATCCTTTTAGGGAGGGGAGATGGTGAGATAGTTTTATTTTATTTTATTGAAAGCTGTATTCGCATTACACAATTAAGCCTAAATGTTAGTTGCAATCTTTGCCCGTTAAGTCCCAAACAGATGATCATTTTGGAACAGTGATGAGAACACCTGTGAGAAGGGGGCCAGATCTAAGTGATATGGTGCCCTGCGTACACCACTTGCTGCACCTTTCTCCCAGACTTCATGTCATAACTGCGATTTTTCCATGGACAGGGAGTGGCCCTGAGACAAAAAGATCTTGTTAACTTAATTAAGCAGTCATTAGGACAGCCCAAGAACAACAGGTATTGGACACCACACAGGCTCCCAGATTTTTAGCCAGCAGACACCTCCTGTCTGCTGTGTGAAAGAGAGAGTTGGAGTCAATAGAGGCAGTAGTGGTCTGCCTGCCTGAGATGGCCAATGCCAGTTTTGGTGGAGGATGCTACAAGTTTTGCAATGAAAGAACTTGTCCACTGATAAAATACCTCTGAACCTCTCTTGGGTGGACATTGTTCTTCATGCTCAGTTAGGGATGCATACATCCCTCTGCATATAGACCTGTATCTAACATGTGAAACTCCTCTCTTCCTTAACATAAACATGTCAATTTTTTAAGACAAGGTGAGATCTTGACTTCAATCACATGTTGTGGCACAGAGTTCCATAGACAACCTTCTGCTTTGAATAGCATCTTAACTCAGTTGTTTAAAGCCTGATTTTCCTTCACCATGTTTAAATTTGTTACCTCTCACCTCATGTTTACACAGATTGGTCTAGAGGTGAAGATGGAAGTGCTTGAATCACCTTTCCTTTAGCACAAGCTATTTTTGTGTCTCTGCCCTGTTCTCCCATGTCTGTAGCACCTTATGCCTTCTCAGTGTACCACCCCATGGATGTTTCAATCCACTTCCATTGCCTGACCCTACAACTCCTCTTTCTGATATGACTGCTTGGAGACAAGCTGAACTGACCTAGAAAGAGTTAAACATGAGGATATTCCCTAGACTTATTTTACACTATTTGCAGAATGCTTTTGCATTCCAGTCTTCCCTAAGCTTAATATTTTGTTTGCTTTTGGAGTGACATGAGGCATTTCAGCAGATGTTTTATCTGGGAGATCCTCTGAGACACACAGTCCTCCCTCCAGAAGAGCTGCAGTTAATTTAGGACATAGAATTATGTAGAAATAGTTCATGTTTCCTCTTCCAATGTTTACTGCTTTTCAGTACTGCACTGATCTGGCATAATGTTTTCTGTAATCTAGATACAGCCCTTTAAATGCTCCTCACTCTTTTCTGCAGCCTAACCTAAGCAAGTGTGTGATATCTGCACGCTTGAACACTTCACTCCTGGTCCACCACTTTTTACAGATAATTAATGCATTAAATAACTATGGTCCTAAAATGTCCATGCAGTCCACTCCAGAACTGATCCTTGAATTCCAAAAAGCACTCAGATCTAGCTCAGCAATAAGAATGGTGTAACTGTCTTTTCCAAAGGGACAGAAAGCAGTTTCCATGTCTTGGTCCCTTCTCGTGTGGGATTTCTCCATTTGGCAGCACATGGCAGCAGGTCCTCCTGGAACAGCAGTGAGGTCTTCAGCAGATCCCTCCATGGCTGCATAGAGAAGTGTTTTTTGTACCAACAGTACATTTGTTTGTTTTTTTTTTTAAACACAGACTCACTAAACCTTTCAATTGTGGTGAGGATCTAGTCTGACACCACACAATGGCAGCCCATTGCCAGATACCTTGACACATACAAGAACATCCCCATTTGCTGCTCTCTGCCAGTTTTTTGGCATCTGCAACATGCTTGGCACAGTAACTCCTGTCTCCTGTACAAGACACATGGAATGAAAACAGAAAACTTTGCCCTCCTGTCCTTCCTCTTCCATGAGCTGCCCTCTATGTCTCCCAAAAAAGGCACTCCCCTTCTGCATGTGCAGGCACAACCTGTTCTATAGCTCACACAGATCTCAGCAGCGTAGACCAAAGATTTAGAAATCATTTGCCACCAACCTGGGAAAAACTGAAGGGCCCTGCCAAGAGCCTCTGTCTCCAGAAGAAAAGCAACCAGCCCATCCCCACTTTACACATCTGTTACCCCTTTCCAACCAAATTACTTTCCTGGACAGCAAAGGGTGAACTGCTCCTTGGCTCAGCCCTGGGTCCAGCAAGTCCCTCACTACATTGGAGCCCAGCTTGAATGTGCCAATGTGTCCCAGAGAGCTGCCGGTGTGGGGGACCCAGGGCATGAGGGTCCACGTGCTGGCAGCACTCACAGGTCCTAAGAGGCAGAAGTGCCATTTCATCATTTGCTTGCACCTCACATATGACCCCATCCTGCTTTCAGGCCTGCCGCTGGCAGAGTATTTACTTTAGCAACCCTGCTTTGTGGCAGGGTAATTTCATTGTCTGGTGTTTCTGTCAGGAAAATTAATTACCAGTCTAGCTCACTGGCTTTTTCACCCACACATCACAGGACATTAAAAACAAATGCCAAAAA